CCTCCTCAGGCAGGGTGTCACCATAGCAACTGGGCTATCTTGACCTTTACATTTGCACAGGAAGTTCCCAGCACAATGTAGCCACAAGGCAGTCAGAGAGACCACAAGTCAAATCACCATTCTGCACAAAACCCCAGTGGGAAAAAAATAACAAACAGGCAATTCACAAAATAGTAGATATAAATAACCATTAAACATTAGAAAAAGGGGACTGGGACATAGCTCAGTGAATGCTTGCCTGCCATTTAAGAGGCTTTGATTTGCAACATAGAAAAAAAATCACCTCCCTGAAAAACAGAGATACCAACAAACTAGAGATATGTCATGTCAATCTCATTGTTAGATTTAAAAGATTACTGTTAACACCCAATCCTGACATGTAGATAGGAGAGGGGAAAGTACATCCTCTTATGTTGCTGAAAATAGTATCACCATTTGGAATAGCAATTGGAACTAACATATACAAGCCTAAAATCCATGCATGTCCTTTGAATTATTGAACTTTATGCATTTTTCTAAAGAAACTATAATATCAAGAACATTGTACATAATTGTATTCATCATAGCTTAACTTATGTCTAAATATATATTTAAAACATGTATACCTAAATATATATTATCAGTATTTTAGTTTAAACAAGTTTAATATCTAATTCATCTAATGCAAGTCTGTGTACCCATTTAAAAATGATGATGTCGATGTGGACTTGTTGGCATGGATTAAGACAATATAAGTACATGGAAGAGAAGAATGGAGTCTAGGAATCTGGAAATAGTAATTCAACTTAAAAGAAATATAGAAATCTATTTCAAAGATGCCAATATACAGTATTAAGTTTATTATCTACCTGACAAAAGATATATACTCGGAACATAAAAAGAATCATAAGTCAATCTTTTAAATAAACAAAAGTTGAACATGTGCCCAGAAAGAAAAGCAAGAGGCTGGGGTTGTAGCTCAGTGGTAGAGCACTTGCCTAGTACATGTGAGGCCCTGGGTTCAATCCTCAGCACCACCTAAAAATGAAAATAAAATGAGGGTATTATATCAATAACTAAAAAATATTTTAAATATAAAAGTTAACAGCTAATAATTTCAATAAGTTTGAAATTATTAGTGGTAAAGGAAATATGAATTTAAACTATAATGAGATACTTCTTCACATCCACTAAAATTATTAAAATTTTAAAATTCACAAAGCCAAGTGTTGGTGAGGATAAGGAGACACTGAAACTTTCATACATTGCTGGTAGAGATGTAAAATCATTTACCCACTCTGATGGTTAATGATAAAGTCAAATATAATTCCATTCTAAAGTATTTACCTAAGAGACCTGGAAACACATGTCTACAAAAGATTTCTATACAAATGATGACCATACCTTCCTTCATGATAGTCAAATCCTGGACACAGCCCAAAGGTCCGTCAATATATGAGTGGATAAAAAAAAAAAATCTGTGGTACATTCATACAATGGAACACTGCTCAGCAATAAAAAGGACCCCTGCAATCACACTCATCAAAACCATTCTAACCACTTAAATTATCACTATTTGCAGATGATATGATTCTGTACCTAGCAGACCCAAAAGGGTCTACAAAGAAGCTATTAGAACTAATAAATGAATTCAGCAAAGTGGCAGGATATAAGATCAACACGCATAAATCAAAGGCATTCCTGTATA